GCCCTGTAATTTACACTGCTGCTGCTGGTAATGACTGTAAGAAATATAAGCAGCACTAATGGGTATGGATCACTGTTCTCCTAGACTGTAAAAAAAAAAAGGAGCATGGGGAATGATAACCCTGTAAGATAGATCAATACAGCTGCAGATTGGTTCTTATGCCATTCAGGTTATTTTCCTTAAATGGCATCATGCCTTACACATTCTGCTGAAGGCTATCCATATCCATTCAAGTTCATGACAGCTATTCTTAGACATTCTTTCCTTTTTGACACCATTACCAAGACTACTACTGTACTTTTTTAAATGAGAATGAGGACAGAGTGTATCTTTTATCAGTTTCAGATCTATTTATCTTAAATTAAAATTATTTGCTATAATTTTTCTATAGTTATTCAATGGATTAGTGAGAAAAAGTCACTGCACAGATACTTGTCTCCTCATTAACATTCATGACAAAATCTTCCAGTAGGGCTGTTTTCGGCTGCTGATGGAGCAATACTTAAAAGAAATTGGCTTGTCTGTGAAACAGCTGCTCAGCAATGCCACTATGCAAGGGAATCGGTGATAATAAGATGGTACTATTACAGCTACACTGTAATAATAATATATTTTAAGCTACTCTGAGGTATGCAGTGGGGGTCCAAGAACTGAAGCATGATTGCTTGTCTATGGCTAGGAACAGGAAACAGCTGATCATTATATGTCTGCTTATTTGGATTAGTCCTACATAAAGCCTTGAGGTAAAAGAAGAATCTGTATCTGCTGGAATTCCTCACTTCTTGCGTGTTCCCTGTCTGCTGGAAAGGTTTTTTGTTCCTTTTCCTAGTTTTTAGAAGGGTTTGTGAGTCCTGTTGCTGGAACAGCTATTACATTCTTAGATAGGAACACTAAAAACCTACTGTTTCAAAGGAATTTTTCTAATTTTAAGGCTTGCTCTCTCAGGCAAGATTCACAGAAGATTCTCTGGATCCTCATGCATCCATTAGTGAAATTTCAGATATTGTTTTTTTTTTTTTTAAATGACCATTCAGTATGGCAATGCTGTGGCAAATACAGAGATGTGGGCAATACAGATGTAAACATCTGCATATAAGGCTCAGCCAAGAAACAATTGGCAGCTGGTATTATGTTGTGTAGTGACTCATGTTAATTCACACCGATTGCCTATAATATGGAAACCAAAGTTAAAATACAATTGTCAGACCTTTGGCTCTGAGACATCTTTGAACCTCATATACTCTGAGGAGGAAAACACTTAGGAAAAAATTAATCTGGAAGAATGGAACAGTTAGAAGTCCCAACATAGTGACAGCCCCTTGGAAATGTGGAGGACAAATGAATAAGAAATGAGTATGATTGTACAGGGACTTATGATGCAAGAACTGATTGCCAGTTAAAAAAAAAGACATAATTTATTCTAATCATAGCTGGTTTCAAAACACTTAATAGTTTTAAAGCTTTCTGTTATGAATTTCATATTTAGCTTCTCCTGCTTATAGTTATTACAGAAATTACTTCTTGTAGAGATTCGGAACGTACTGCACTTCAGGTAAAATGAAATTTAAAACTGACAGAAATGATGTAGGAACACTGTCAGCAGGCTGAGGGAGGTGAACCTTCCTCTCAGCTCAGCACTAATAAGGCCGCATTTGAAGTTCTGGGTCCACATCTGGGCTCCCCAGTACAAAACAGGTATGGTTAAACAGATGCAAGTCCAGTAAAGGGTATTAAGATTATGAAGGGACTGTATCATCTCTCATATGAGCAGAGTCTGAGAAGGTGGGAACTATTCAGCCTGGAGAAGAGAAGGCTCAGCAGGATCTGATCCATGTGTATAAATGTCTGATGGGAGGAGTAAAGATGAAGCCAGGATCTTTACAACAAAGCCCAGTGACAGGACAAGAAGCAATGGGCACAAATTAAAAAAAAAAAAAAAAAAACAACCAAACAAACAAACAGAAAATTGCATCTAAACACAAGAAAACACTTCTTTACTTTGAGGATGTTCAAACACTGGCACAAGTTGCCCAGAGATGCTGTGGATTCTTCACCCTTGGAGACATTCAAAACCCAGCTGCAAACGTTCCTGTGTAACCTGCAGTAGCTGAAGCTGCTTTGAGTGGGGAAGTTTGACTAGGCCATCTCCAGACTTGCCTTCACATCTGAGTCATGCTCTCATTCTGTGATTGTGTAAGAATGTGTGTCTGACCAGAGGCTAAAGAGACAATGCTTAAATTACAGCACTTGAGTTTCCTTGTATATTAGATCATGAATAGGAATCTAGAGCAAAAACCTGAAAAGGAAAACAGACCACAAATTACCTCTCAAAATGGAAATCATAAAATCATCCCATCTATGCTCAAGTGTATGCATGTGGGACAGAAAGCAAATAAGATAAGAAAGGCAAGGTAAATGAAGGTCAGATCATAATTGAACGGAGTGTTCACACACTCCTACAAAGTCTTATGTTGCAAAGATTAGCATTACCCTAAGGCATGCCTGGTACAACAGAAAAAAGATTGCAAAAATCTACAAGACATTCCATATCCCTTTCAAGAATTTGCAAAATGATATATAAAACTCTGCATGAACACAGAAGCTGGTAGCAACAGTAGTTCAAATTAACTCCTCACGGGAGCAATGCTAATATACTCGCTATCTCAGCATTACTTAAATGTTCATATAATCTGTTATTGCTTAGATACGCTGCTCTCAATAAACACAGGTGGTGTACACAACTTCCATAAAATCATCACAATTGGCTGCGTTTGCTTTGTTCTTTGTGATGCACTAGCATCAAGTGGCCAAGTCATGTATCAGAACTCCCTTGTGCAAGCAAAGTACCAAATTATAACACAGAAAAAATGACCTTGAAGAATTAAAATATTGACGTTATCTAACAGTCCAGTATTTTCTTTACACTGAAAAGCATCATCCTATCTCAAACTGCAACAAATCTAACTGGTTTTATACTGAAAGACAGTCTATTAGGTAATATATTTTTCCAATAATGCATTTGTCCTTCTAGAAAGACTAAGCAGTTTTTCCATATAAATGAAGAACTTTTGAATAGTTTTAGAATAGCATTAAAATGTTGAAAGTATACACAAAGTTCAAATGCTCTTTGATAAGACTTGACATTGTAAATTCCATTTAAAACATCAGTGAAAAGCCAGAAGGAACTGCTTTAGCGTTTTAATCCAACTTTCTGCAGAGCAGATCCATAAGAATCCCAGACTGCAATATTTACAACAGGTCAGTAACTTTCAGCCATACACCTTACTGTCAGTATTAAGATACAGAATTTCAGGTTACTGAAAAAGCCATAATGTGCTTAGGTTCACTGTAATATAAAAAGGCCTCAAGTTGCCAAAGAATTAGCAAGGTATCATCTGAACTCTGTGGTAAATGAGCCCAGGGTTTTCAGTAGACTGCACTGCTCACTGAACACCAGTGATCATCTTGGTTTGGAAAACGAGAAAAAGCCCTGTATGTGCCCTAGCTGGTTGTTATGTCTGTTCTGCTTGCTTGGTCATCTTGTAATATTGCATACAGATTCTGGAATTTTTTTAGGTCCTTCAAAATGAAGGAAAATTTTGAAAATCCACTATAGAAAAAATTCCAACTTCACATTAAAAAGGGAAGCCATCACAATGCAGAGCACTGCACAGTCATCCACACTGCAGTCCTTCCAAGGACTAAGGACACTTTCTAAATTATATTAGCACCCAATCTGCTGCTGGTGACATTTCTCCAGCTCATCCTCATATTATACATTCCCCTTTCTCTCCTTTTACAATTCATCTGTCATACTGATAGAATCAATATTAGACAAAAAAAAAAAAAAAAAAAAAAAAACCAAACTGGATAAAGAGAATGATACAGAATTACCCTAAGGAGTCAGAGACATCTTCACTTTTTTCTGAATGTGACCTCAGAGTTTCAAAATAAGCTTCCAATTTGAGGGAGAACCTTTCCACCATTCTCCTACACGTGTGCACATGTCTGTTACCTGGGGTCAGCCAACTTTACTGCTCCTGTTTGCAGGCTTCCTGCCCACACGCAAAGATGCAGCTCTGCAATCCTCTCTACAATGCTGGTTTACACCTCTGATTGCCAGACACTTTCCACCTTACACATATGCAGAAACGCTTAGGGGGGTCATTTTCAACACAAATGCAGATTTCACATGTAGATAAAGCCATGACTAAATATTCTGAAGCTCTTTTACTCTTTGCTACTCTGCAGTTTATGAGAAAAGTTCAATACAGTGTGACTTGGAAATATGGACAACCATAAAAACTGCTTAATGCTCATTATTAAAGACAAGCATTTAGCAAATTGTGACACTGAGCCCTTAGTGACAAAAATATTACAAAGGCTGAGGACCAAAAGAGATTGGAGTACTGATTAGAAACAAAAACCTCAAACTGTCCTTGTCAGTTCTTTCCAGGTGTAAAAGATGTGTTCGATAATGCTTAAGTGGTTTGTGTGACAATCCTTCTCAAAAGCAACTGAATGTTTGGGAGCCAGAAGCCCTCTAAGAGACTCAATATATCACAAGGAGATCTTGCAGGATAAAACTGCAGCCTTAAGACTACAAACAAGCAGACTACAAAAAAACTGCTTTGCAGTAACAAAAATCATGGAAGATCCACAGTTCATCTTGCAACAGTAAACATAATTGCAAACCTAAATTTTGCATTTGAAACTAGGAGACCGAAATTATAAACCTCTGTATGCATATCTAATCTCTTTTTTCAACATTAACCAAGCCTGCAGGCACTTAACAGTCCAATTCTTGATGTCACTGTAATTAAAGACAATAGTCACAAGGCTGATAATCATACCAGCTGTAAGTTAACCCTTATCTTAGCCAAACTGACAACTGCAAATGTGATAGCTAATTGTAAAGAAAAGAACACTGGAATTTATGATGGATAATGTGACTTTTACATCCCACAACCTTGAAAATAAGTAAATTATACCCAGCCTACCGTCAAACTTCTTGTGACGGGATACAAAAGTGGTGCGTACAAAGTGACTTGTCTCCTCCACTAAGTTTTCAAACTCCAGTTTGCTCTGTTGGCTTAACTTGTCCTCCATTTCTGAGGTGCAACATGTGTATTCCTGAGGGCAGATTCTCAAATGTTCCCCTGGAATCACAAGAAAAAAGGAATTAGAAATATTTGAATGCAGATAAAAATGTGTCAGAACCACATATACATGAAGTCTCTTCAGTTAAGGAAGATGGGATACACAGAGAGCTCTTTAAGGCTTGATTACTTGATTGGGAACACTTTGAATCTGTATCAACAACTTTTCCATGGTTGGGGAATTCCTCACACGGGAGGGGAGACACACTTTGCAGAGTTGTTTTCACACTTCAAAAGGTAAAACTGTCTCATGCTGAAAGTGATTCCTCACGCTGAAGAAGCCTTCCTCATAAATAGACTTAAAAATTCAAAGACAATTGTTTGCTTTCTGATTGTATTCAAAATGCCTGGAGAAATACTAAGATGACCTGTTACAAGTCATCAGAGCTGTCTTGCTGTCAAAACCTGAACCACAGAAATTATGTTTCTACAGCTAGGTCTCACTTGCCCAAATGCACCAAAACATTCTCCCCTTCTACCCTTCCTTCACTTCTGCTTGAGCAAATGTATTTTAATGACTGTGTTTGCATGCCACATGTTTTCTTGGGCAGCATTTCTTGTCAGACTGAGCAAGTGCGCTGCTGAATAGGAGCAAGCAATGAAGAGTTTAATTAATGCTTATATTATACAGAAATGCAATGTAAAAGGTAATGAAAGCCTCTTATTTAATTCAATAGATTTATCTCTTGAAGCACTGTGCCAGTTCTTCTGACAATATTGCTTTCTTCGGTACAATTTGCAAGTGGAAACCAATTCTTTAGCTCATGAAATTAAAATGGTCTGTTATTACATGAAATGTGAATTTCCAATTGACACTGTACTATGGGTGTCAGAAACATTTAGCTCAGTTTGTACAAAGGCAAGAAATTCTACCATATCCTCTTGAGAAATAAAAAGAATGATCTGCCTCTATGATTAAAGTTACTTGTAAGGCAATGAAAACATTTAGCTTTCTGTACACCGAATCCTGATTAAAAATCCCTCTGCAAATCTCTGAAAGGTGCAAATAAAATGATATACAAAGCCCAAGGGTTAAATAAATACTGGGGACCTGATTCTCATTTATATCAAGGCTCCCTTCTACCACTGCTGAGCCATAAAGAAGATTTAAATGCAATTTATACCTACTTTAAGGGTACTTTTCACCATTCTTGTTATGTAGTGAGGAGAATCAGGCCCTAAGGTTTATGCTTCCCACGAGTACAATACATTTAGCTGCTGCATCATTTTGAAAACAGCATCAAAGAGAGGTTTGCACATGCTTAGAATAAACATTGTCTTGAGTTTGCCCTAACCTTATTCCAATTTTCATTTCAGTTTTTGAATTAAGTCTTTTAATTTGAAATTTAGTCATTCCTCAACTGAGACCCATCACCCCCATCTTAGGTTGCTTTTTCTGCAAGACTTCATAATATATGAACTATAACGTCACAAAATTTCTTTTAGCAGTCTCAAGACTTTTTAAAAGCTCTTAGCTCTTATCTTCAGGAAGGATCATTTCATTATTATCAGTTAATGTCATCAGCACTACCTACAAGTCCCAGTCATGTCCAAAAGCACCATGATATAAAACACTGTATAAACCTAGAAAAAGAGATACCCCATGACCATCACAATATTGTAATGATTGTTTCCCATGTCTACTACACCCTCTCAACACAATAAATTGATTCCTCTCCATTCTCAAAATCACACATCTAAGCCATAAACAACACATACAGGGTCTGGTGAGCCAGCTGCTGTCAAACATAAATGATAGTGTCAAAATAATGGTTGCCTTACCCTCTACATCACAGTAATATTAAACTGAAACTATTCAACAGGTAACATGTGACTGTATAGGTACCATAAGACACAATAAGTATTATTTTAGTAACAGTAATGTTCTGAGTTTTTATTAGATGTCAGAAAGATACGGAAAGCTGGAATATTGTTTCATTAGAAGCAGTGCTGCGTGCTTGGTTAAATAAAAAAAAACAAAACAAAACAAAACAAAACAAAAAACAACCAAAGCCAAACCCCATCCATAACAACTGTAACCCCCTTCCTTGATAAACCCAGGGGATTTTGCTCATTGGAAAGCACTGGGTAGACCTGCTATCCCAGTTCAGTCAGTGATAGTTTACGCTTTCTATAATGATCACGTCCCCTAGTGCTGTTGCAGTCAAGCATTTTTATAAAGGTCAGTTTTCTTTCCTCTGTTCATTTCAATTTTTTTTTTCCTCTTCTATCTGGTTTGTTTTTCATAATTGCCAGACTATCAACTGAATTAATCCTAATCATCAAGGCACTGTATTTAGTGAGTAACAATTATTGGTCTAGATTTCTAAGACATTATGTTATACTGAGTATTATGACAAATTCAAGCATATTGAACTTGGTATATCAGACATTTTTGTAGCAATATTTATTTTTGTCTTGCCTATTTATTTATGGTCTTACTTTCTCTTTGCTACAAAAATTACTTCCCACTGGATCTTCATATATTCATTAGGCTCTGGGCTGCTGAAATATGAAACTTGTATTTATCAGAAATGCTCACAACTTCCACACTACCTCATTGCTTTCCTTTCCTAACAATATATCTTCCTAAATCATCTATACTAATCACCTGCTTTCATCATAAAAACTTTGCTAAAATATAATCAGATTTTTAAAAACAAGATTTATAGTTCTCTCCTCCACTGTCATATACTCCCTGCATTTTTTGTAGAAAGAAATAATAATGTGAATATTGTGCTACACTTCATATTATGCTTCAAGATTCTTTTCCTTCTCCTCTTTCTTGCACTAGAGGCTCAAGCCAGATTATAGGTAAAGCAAAAGCATTTTTCACTGCTCCATGCCAATGGAGTGTTTCTAGCCCTAAGAAGTTCAAGTATACTTTGCAAAGATGAAGTCTTTAGAAATTGTGGCTCATAAGGCCTAGCATGTTTGTACTGACCATGACTGGCTGAAGTATCCAAAGGCTCACAACTTGGAGAAAAACTTGGGCCCTTTCCTGGGAATGGCAAATGGAAGCTCTCTGACAGTCATTTCTGTATGCTTAATTTTAATTTCCTTCCTAAACGCATCAATCACCATTTTGCACTGGTTCTTATTAAGCCTCCAACTCATGTTAGAATCACCCGGTCATTAGTTCACTCCTTGGACAAAAAAAAGCATACACTTTTTTTTTTTTTTTTTTTTTAATTAAGGTGTGTGTTCTTTAGTTTGGATTTTTTTCCTCTTTTTTTGATGCAAATCTGTTATAACAGACTGTTTGGATTGGAAATAACTCTGCAGGCTATATTTGATTGTGCTTCCTCTATTTCCCTGAACAGGATCATTTATCATTTGCATTTTGTAATGTATTGTTATATCGCTCTAAAAGGAGTTTAATCACTGATCTGTGTAGTTGCACACCTTAAATATTTTGCCAGCTGAAAATGTGCTCAGAGATAATGTACCAGTTCTTGCCCTGGGAAATTCCATATGGTCTACGTTCATATGCTAATTGTAGCAAAGATTTTTATGGTGCAAATGGCATTGGATATAACTGACTAGTTTTTCCATTTTGTAAATGGTGTCTCCCCATACAAGTTTGACAGAGTGCAGTTACACTGCACCAGCATTTTGCCAGACTAAATAAGTATTAACTCAGCAGTTCCCAGCGACCTACCACAACTCTTCTAACCACTGTTTCCAGGTGAAGATGCTGACCTACATATCTCTCCTCACGTGGCTTATGTTATATAAATCAAATCAATTGCCTACTACAAATTCAGCTACCAGTATTTAATTTCAGTTTTATTACAGTTGTAATCTCACACCTGCCTTCACATGATCCAAACTGGCAAGTTTTGCAGTTGAATTTGGCAATCCTGCTAGCATGTTGCTTTGGAGTGTAATATAACAATTTATAAAGCACTTGTTTTATATTCAGATATATTGCAGTTCGGTGTCCCCATAACATGCTACAAACCTCACAAGTCTTCAGAACATTGCAACTTACAACTCTCAAGCTGAATAAATGCTTCTACTGTGTATCAAAATGCCAGAACTGATTTGAGCATGGTAATTACTTGCAGAAGATATAATCTGAAGGAGCAATAAACCTTATGGAATATAACATTACACTTAACAATTTCACTGCCAGATTTCCCGAACACCTGATGCAAGCATTGGTTACATTGTTAGAACTGGAAGCATGATCACAAGATATTTTACATCAGCCAGAATTTTTTATGGGTCATGTTGCAAATTTAACAATTCCAGAAACAATTATTTCTGAGGGATGCAATATTTTATAGTTTCTATCTCAATCATAAATTAAAAATTTGTTATTGTTCTGTTTACAGAATGGTAGAACTAAGTGTGTGACTGGTGAGAATAGAAATATACAGTCATCACACTGCTTCATAAATCCAGCAATGAATAAATGTTAATAAAAAAAAGGTGTGGTTAATAAATTCAAAGTGTGCTTTGAAATTTGGTCACCCTGTATGCATCAACAGAGCCTAAAGGAAGAGAAGACATCTTTGCATCCTTCATTATGAAGATTGGATTAATGTGATTGGGTTTTGTCATTAACCATGTTCTTTAAAATTAGAAATGCCTGCTTCAGACTTACTCATATTCAGCCATTTGTGGAGAAGGCAGCGTAATTTCTTAACAGTATGACAAAGACAAGTTCAAAGTCCTAAACCTGGGACAGACTAACCAAAGAGACCAGTACCAGCTAGGATCTGCATGGCTGGGGAGGAGCCTTTCTGAAAAGGATCTGGGCTCCTGGAGGACAACAAGCTGAACATGAGTCAGCAGTGCACCAAGGCAGCAGCAAAGGCAAATTCAGATCCTGGGCTGCATCCACAGGGGCACTACTAGCAGAGATAGAGACATATTCATCCCGCTTTACTCAGAGCTTGCCAGGCTGCACTTGGAGAACTGTGTCCCATTCTGGTCCCCACAATTCAAGGAAGGTGCGGACAGACCGAAGCGGGTCCAAAGGAGGGCCATGA